CTCGCCAAGTTGCCCAGGCGGGCCTCAAACCCGCGGGCTCAGGCAGTCCACTCATCCCAGCCTCCCAAAGCGCTGGGATTACAGGCTGAGCCACCGAGCCCGGCTGATACAATATTTTTAGTCTATGGATATTATCTTCTTTCTAAGTACAAAACTGCTATTCCCATTAACACAGCTCGTAGGTTCAGGGGGAAAAAATTAGCCTGGTGCTGAAAGAAAAAAAATCAAGATTCCAGGAAATAGCCTCTTAACAGAAATTTAAAAGAAAATTCTCATGTCCCTAATTCTGCAATTCTCTTCAAGCTTTCTGTCTGCTGCGGGGTTTTTCTTTTTTCCTTTTCTGCACAAGTGGCTGAGACTATACGCCCAAATGGAGATTTCATAGCCAAGTCTAGCATTAACATTCAACAGATTTTTAAAAAATGTTTGGTTGGGAGGCTGAGGTGAGTGGATTGCCTAAGCCCGTGGGTTCGAGACCCACCTGGGCAACTTGGCAAGACCTCATCTCTACAATAAATCAAAAATTAGCTGGGCGTGGTAGCACGCGCCTGTAGTTCCAGCTACTCGGAAGGCTGAGGCAGAAGGATCGCCGGAGCCCAGCAAGTCGAGGCTGCGGTGGTCGGGAGCGGCCACTGCACTCCAGTCTGGGCGACGGAGTGAGACTCCAATTCAAAAAAAAAAAAAAAAAGTTTGGCATGATGGTTTTTTGATGTTACTGCCTTTTTGTTCTAAGATTTTTTTTTTTTTAAGGTGGGAATGTTGGTCTCACTTAGATGGGGAATGAGCAAGAGGAAAACCTCAATATTCAAGGTTTAATGAATATTTATTGAGCATCTATTATGTGCCAACCACTGAGTATACAGCAATGAATAAAATGGATCTTCCCTTGAGGATCTTACATTCTAGCAGGACAGTACTTAACATTTATTAAAGGCTTGCCATGTGCCAGGCACAGTTCTAGCACTTTCTATGATAACTCTGCAGGAGGGGGTGCCCTATTATTATTACTTTGCACAAGCTCACACTGCTAGATAGTGGTGAACCAGGATTCACATCCAGGTAGTCTGTCTCCAAGGCCACCAGACTTAATTCACCACCCTAATTCGTGATGCATATATCCCAGATGGATCTGAGAGTCCTTCTTCCTCTGCTCCATCCTAACCTGATTATCCCTCTTGGTGCACACATCTCCTTAGTCTGTTACCTCAGGCCATAGGCTTTTGGAGGGCAGGCCCTGTCTGTTGTCATCTCCATATTCAGTACTCACAGTGCTTGTGATCAACCAGACTGTAAGAATCTTACAGTGCTTGTGACCAACCAGAATTGAGGCCGCATCTGCTAGAGCATTTCAAAAACACCTGTGGAAAATGTTTCCGATTCAGGTGCATATAGTAAATGCTCTCTATGGATCTCTAAAACTCTGTCATTCCATGACATCCAGCTTGGGACTCTGGTTTATGAATACAAGGGGGGACCCAACAAACCTGGGTTTTATTTATTAAAAATTGTGTATTTATTCTTACATGTTTAAACTTCAGTTACCCTCAAAGTTCTCTCTGTTTGATACAACACACCTATAGAGATCCTTTTCCCACTGCTCAAAACAGTCTTTGAACTCCTCAATTTTGATGCTTCGGTGCTTCTGCTGTTTTTTTTTGTTTGTTTGTTTCACCTCTTCCACAGGCAAAATGTTCCCTTTGAGGACGTTTTTCATCTGGGGAAACAAAAAAAGTCGGTCAGGGCAAGATCAGGTGAATAGGGAGGGTGGGGCCTGGGGGTTATGCTGGTTTTTGGTCAAAAACTGCCGAACACTCAGTGCAGTGTGGGCAGGTGCACTCGTAATTCACCCATCATGAAATGAACAAATGCATTGAAAGATCTCCAAAAAAAATTCACTGAAGCCAAATGCAGCCTCTCACAACAATGCTAGCTGGTAGACTAATGCCGATGGGTTCCTACCTAGCAGGAGAAGCCTGTACTACACTTACCTAGCAGGAGAAGCCTGTACTACAAGGGGTCTGTCCTCCAAAAGGTTAATTTTGTTTTGGGGGGGTGTTGCCCCCTCATATGTAAGGATTCTCTGTAGGAAAGTTTCTGCTCAAAGACACAGGACTACTCTCTGTGCCGGCAGGTGCAGGCCTAGACAACTGCTGTCCAGGCAGTGAACTGGGCAGTTGATGGGGAGCTTGGGATCTAAACACTATGCCTTGAGCGCTACCAAGGTGCTTATACAATGGGGGCTGGGAGAGGGGTACTCCGTGGCATTGCCCAAATATATTCTCTTAAAAATGGGTAGGAAACACCTAAATGACCAGCAAGAAAGATTTAGTAAAATAAAGCCCTGTAGTACAATGCTGTGTCATCATTAACTAGGCTGTAAAAGAAGATTTAAGAACACGAGTAAATGCTCAAGATATAAATGAAAAGAACCGATATTATAATTTTGATTAAACATCATCTCAATTTTTTGGAGGGTATAAATTTGCCCAGAAAAGAACAGAAGGTTATTCATCAAGAGGATGAGATTTTTATATTTCATTACATTTTTACACTTTTCTGTCTTTCCCAGTTTTTGTATAAAAATATATTTGTTACAACTAGAAAACCATTATTGAATAATAAACAGAAAGTGAACTTTAAAAAAAGATTTTAAAACCTCACATGGGCCCCCAAGGAGAACTTAAATCTATTTTCTGTGCACACTCTTTCCTTGTACTGGGAGCACAGCAGCGATCACAACACAGCAAATCGCTGGGTCGGAAGCCTTGGCAGGTGTTTCCTTTGATTCTAGACTTCAGGGGCTGTGGCACTGGTTGCAAAACCTTCACTGATTATCAGATCCAGAGATCTAAGGCCTTGAGGATACGACATCCCCTGTCCTAGCAGGAAATAATGAACCCTTCTAACCTTAAAGTCCTTTGGAACAAATGGCTATAAACATGTATGGGGTGGACTCAAAAAAATGGAATTATTTTTTGGAGGGTGGGCCCTGTGTAGTACAGTCTTCCCCAGCTAGATGAGCGTTCTAAGAACCCATCAGCATCTGTGTACCAACTAGCATTGATGTGAGAGGCTGTGTTTGGCCTCAGTGAAATTTTTTTGGAGATTCAACGTATTTGCCCATTTCATAATGGGTGATTTACGAGTGTACCTGCTCACACTGTGCTGAGTGTTCAACAGTTTTTGACCAAAACTGGCATGGCCCCTGTGCCCCACCCTCCCTATTCATCCATTTTTGCCTCAGCTGATTTTCTTTGTTTCCTTGGGTAAAAAAAAGTCCTCAAAGGGAAACGTTTTGCTGATGTGGAAGAGGTGAAACAAACAAACAAAAAAACCAGCAGAAGCACTAAAAGGCATCAAAATCGACGAGTTCAAAACTGTTTTGAGCAGTGAAAAAAGTATCTCGATAGGTATATTGCATCAAAGGGAGAGTCCTTTGAAGTTAATGAAGTTTAAACATGTAAGAATAAATACAGGCCGGGCTCGGTGGCTCAGCCTGTAATCCCACTCTTTGGTAGCCTAAGGTGAGTGAATTGCCTGAGCCCGCGGGTTCGAGACCCGCCTGGCCAATTTGGCGAGACCTCATCTCTACAATAAATCAAAAAATTAGCTGGGCATGGTAGCATGTTCCTGTAGTTCCAGCTACTTGGAAGGCTGAGGCAGAAGGATTGCTGGAGCCCAGCAGGTAGAGCCTGCGGTGGCCGGGAGCGTGCCACTGCACTCCAGTCTGGGCGACAGAGTGAGACTCCAACTCAAAAATAAATAAATAAATACATACATTGGAAGGTTGAGGCAGAAGGATCACCTGAGCCTAGCAAGTTGAAGCTGCAGTGGCAGTGAGCGTGCCACTGCACTCCAGCCTGGGTGACAGAGTGAGACTCCAACTCACAAAATAGATAAATACACAATTTTTAATAGATAAATTTTGCCTTTTGGGGAGGTCCCCCCTCTAAGTCTCTAGCGTTGCTGTGGCCTTTCATATTTTACAGTGTGCATTCTCATTTAATCCTCACAATAATGTGAAGGAGCAATTGGTCATGTCATCCCTAAGGCAGGAGGGGACTCGTCCCAGATCGTGTGGTGAAGGCCAGAACTTGGACCCAGCTCTTCTGATCCAGGGCCTTCCCCTGCTTCCTTGACTCCTTCATGGGAGCAAGAATGCAATCTTGATGAGCACTGGAGGGCAGCACAGACACGGTCCTCCTATGGACTGGTTTTTAGTGGGCTACACACATAAATCTGTCTGTTCTAGTCAGACCAAGTGGTTCTGGGTGGAGCATGATTAAGAAGGCTGGACTGGACATTGGGAGCCGAGGACGACAAAGACTTTCAACTACCCCAAAATGCAGTAAGGACTTTATTGGTGGCCACATATCGGGAATTAGATTTTAAAACAGCTCTTATACATCCCCAAATCGGGTTCCAACCTGGACTCTAAGCCCTGCTATGTTTCATCCTCAGCTCACACTTGTCCCTTGTTCCTTCTGTCATTTCAACAAATGATGCTTGAACACAATTTTAGACCCTCGTATATTGTATGTTATTTAAAATGTAGCCAGATCTTATCTACTTTGGTAAAGTGCTATTAGCTCATGCATGGTAGTTATGTTTAAACAGTGTTGGTTAAAGCCAAGACATAGAATCAAAGCCAGAAGTTGTCTGGAAGGAGAAGTGAGAATACAGCCACAGGGATAAGAGAACTGGACCAGAAGCAGAGCCTGCCTAGGCAGAGGCCTTTATATGAACTTCTCATAATTGAAGCAGGATCCAATGACCCGGGCTCAGAGTGTGGGCAATCAGGGCCGGAGGCTCAGACCAACAGATCCAGAAGTTTCTTGATTCAAGAGCAATGAAGTCCGAGAATGGCCTATTTGGACCTTATCCTGACGCATCAAGATTGTTCCATGGACTAAGAGTATGCAATGGTAACTAAATGGACACATTTTCTGGGGAAAGACGTATAGGTGTGCTGACTTAAATCTTTCCCTTTGTTTTTTTAGTATTTCCTGGTTTCTCCCTCAAAGAGCTTCAGAATGTCTGCTAATGGTACCCTCTTCTCCACAACAGAACTGGACTTTGAGGCAGGAAACAGCAGGTAGCCTTGCCAATGACCTTGCTTGCTGTACTGTTTCTCGGGGGGGCGACGGGACAGGAAGGATCAGTCACAGTGTCACCAGAGGGCAGCTGAGGTGCCCCCCCAAGTGATCTGCGGCCTCAACTGTGAGTTCGGAGAGCAACGAACCCCAGAAAGGACAGGGAATAAGGGAGTTGTGTCTTTCTCGTCCAAAGCCTCTGTGTCCAGAGAATGAGAACCGCAATGTGGGAGGATTGCTCAGACCCGCAACCAGTTTGGGAGAGGCAGCCATCCAAGCAAAGAGGCTAATGAGCATGAAAGCAGCAGGGTGGGGTGATCAAGCCACTGAGGAAAGGCCAGACCTTGAGGGTGAAGACACTTAGACCTTGGGGTGAACCAGGTGGAGCTCCAGGCTCTGCACTAGGTGTAGACACTAGGGCTCGTCACGTGAGACATGGGCACCTCGTTTCCTCCCGTGGGTGTGACACGCACTTCCCAGGGATATTGTGAGAAATGCTGAGATAGAGTGTGCCACGTGGCTGGCTCGAGCAGATGCCTGCCCATGAGACGCTGCAGTGAATAACCCCTGCAGAATAAGAAACGACCCAGTGAGTTCGGAGAAGGGCGGACTCAGCGGGACGACGACTGCAGGAGCATTATGATTATGGATTAGGTGGCCAGAAAGTGGGCAGGCTCTTTTCTTGCCCCTCCTACCCTGTTTTCCCCCATTGCATTTTGACATAGTGCCAGTGAAGCCTGATTTTCTCATCTGCAATGTTTCCCTGACAGTTTCCATTTCATTGTGGAAGTGAGGGACAGCGGAGGCCTCAAAGCCTCCACAGCACTCCGGGTGAACATTGTGAACCTCAACGATGAAATCCCTCGCTTCACCAGGTAGGCCGAAGGCACACAGGACCTGGGCCTCTGGCACCATCCTCTTTGGGCAGCCTAGTTGCCTCCCAATACATCTGGTGCAAGACAGAGAGATGCCCTTTGCTTTGTCCTAGAGGAGACATAAGAGGCATGAGGGCTTCAGTGCCCTTTCTCTGGGCCTCTGGACTGCTGTTTTCCACATTTACTGCCCATGCTTCCCGCACATCCACATTCATGTGTATCACAGGATGGTGAATGTGGTGGAGAACTGGGGGCAGAACACGCCCAGGTGCGAGCCTTACCATGTGCACATGTAGAAGGTACTTTTATAATAACAGGCTCCACATTAATAATAGCAGAATCCAGGCTAGGTGCTGTGGCTCATGTCATCCCAGCACTTTGGGAGGCTGAGATAGAGTGAGAAGTGCCGAGATAGAGTGTGCTACACGTGAGAGCACTTTGGGAGGCTGAGGCAGGAGGATTGATTGAGCCCAGGCGTTCAAGGCCAACCTGGGCAGTATAGCAAGCCCTCATCTCTATATAAATAAAAAACAAATAAACAAACAAATAAATAAAATAATAGCAGGATCCTAGAGCACATATCAACAGTCATGATTCCACAAAACCCACTCTTTTTTTGAGGTGGAGTCTCACTCTGTCACCCAGACTGGAGTGCAGTGGCCGCTCCCGGCCACCCCAGCATCGAACTGCTGGGCTCCGGCGATCCTTCCGCCTCAGCCTTCTAAGTAGCCAGAACTACAGGCACATGCTACCACGCCCGGGTAATTTTTTATTTACTGTAGAGACAAGGTTTCGCCAAGTTGCCCGAGCAGGTCTCGAACCCCTGGGCTCAGGCAATCCACTCACCTCGGCCTCCCAAAGTGCTGGGATTACAAGCTGAGCCACCAAGCCTGGCCAAAGAGGACACTTTTAAGGTGTCCTCTTCCCACCGAGGAGAGGTCTGTTTTCATGGTGCCTACCTGCTGCTGTCTGTGCTAAAGTTTTTTCCTGCCATGCTGAATCTAGAAAAGAGATCTGGCCGTGTCTGGCATCTCCTGTGTCCAGCAGAGGTGAGGAAGGTCAAAGCATCTGGTGGGGGGCAGTTTGTGGAAATGTGCCTGGCCCTATCCCAGGCACAAAAGAGAGATCCTAGTCTCTTGTAGGTAGGGATTTAGGAGGAGAAGATGGGATTCTGAGCTAGCAGATGGCACACCAGACAGCCTGGCTCATGGGTTACAGAGCCTCTGTCTGTCCCAGTCCCTGAGATGGGCATAGGCACAGGCACAAGGAAAATAGCAAAGTCACCTGCTCGGGGGTTACCTGCACTCATGGCTATAAATAGAGTCAGCACAAGATACTCCACCAGCAAAAATCCATGAGGCCCCAGAGCTAGGTAGAGCACTTGCAAAAGTGTCCCAGGATTGGGAGGTATTAAGGTCACCCCACCTGCAGCTAACCCGGTGCCATTTGGCAGACATATCAACGAAACTGTGAAACTTCTGCATATTATCATAGTCTCTTCAGTCTGGTTGCAGGTGTCAATGTGGAGGGAAGAGCAGCAGATGAACTCCCATGTGATGTCTCCCATCAGCACCTGCAGTCATGTTAGGCGCTGAAGGGGAGTACTGTGCGTTTCTGCTGGTGGGTGGCTCCAAGAGCACAGTCCAGACAGTTTATTAATAGTTGTGACATCCCAGTCCGGACTCAGGCTCAGGAATTGGCCCACACAGCTCTGAGGGTTCACCAGGAACCCCCAGAGGAAGGTGATAGCTGTGGGGCTGGGGCAATTGCCTGCTGTCCCCACATGCCCAGGCTGTGAGGAGGGGAAGCAAGTTAAAAGAGAGGGAAAAATAATAAGTTCTCCCCAGGCACAGAACTTGTAAACCGTCTGTTTCGGACTACATCCTCCAAAATACAGCAGTTGACTTCAGCAGGGAGACAACATGACCCACAGCAGGGAGACAACATGATTAGGGGGACTCCTGGAGATCAGCCTGGAATTCCCTGGTCCTCATTCTTGGTTTCAGCGAGGAACCTAATAGCCTCTATCCCGAGGCAGAGAGCATGATCCGTGTGATCACCTAATTTTTTTTGTTTTTGTTTTTTTTCCCTCTGTGTTACATCTTTGGAGATAGCTTTTTATTTTTAATCAGTGGGCTTTATTTCAGTGTTACACAGATGGTGGTGAGGCTGAGTTTGTGAGAGCCTCACTCCAAATGGAGGACTGTGGGCAGGGAGGCTGTCCCTTGCCTTGGCCTAGGCTGTCAATGAGCGCCCACCTTACCCTTCAGCTAGCCACAGGCCAGGTGCTGACTTTGGGGACTTTCGTGTCTCCCTTGAATATCATCCTTTCCCCCAAATCAGTGCTAACACTTGCCACAAATTATTTAATTCAGGACTAACACAATTCAACCCTTGAACAGACTCAGGTCTATTGAACCTGAGTGTGAAAGAGAAATGTAAAATGTAGAACCAGCCCTTCTGTCTTGGCTATTTGTTAAACTCCTGCAATGAGAATAACCAAAACGAGTCCTGATTCTGTGGTTGAAATTGTCCCCCCACTTTATCCCTGGGTGGTGTCACTCTTTCCGTGTGTACAGTGCAACTCTTTTTGCAAAGCACATATTTTTAGGAGGTGGCAGGTAGGCCTTTCTCTCCCCCTTCCCATTTCTTTTGTATTTGCTCTCAGTCCTTTTCCTCCTGGTGCCTGGAGTTGCTATGCACACCTGAGGCACACACTTTGGCATCACTCTACTTTGCCTATTCCTGGGTCCTTCAGTGGGTAGCATTGCAGATTTTCTGAGAAGGGGTATGTCAGGTAAGTGGGAGGATTACCGGGTCTGCTCCAGTGGAACACTGGCTGGGGAGAGGCCTGGAGCACTAAGGTGACCTTGGATGCACAAGATGGCCCTACTTGAACAATGGAGTATGCCTACAGGAGACTACCTCACAAAGGAGGTGGGAGAAGCCAGTGTCCAGGCAGGAGAGGGACCGGGGTGAGAGCCTGGTTCCCACCTTTGCCCACCTCTCACTCTAAATAGAGGCTCCCTCCCTACTTCTCCTTTCTCTGGTCCTACCTACCTTCTAGGGGTGGTGAGGTGGCACTGCAGAAACCTTCTGAGCTCACAAAATGAATGCAGTCACTTAAATGTGAAATATAGTGTGCCTTTCTTAAAGATCCCACATGGGAAAAACCTCAACTTGAGAAACAGGGAAATTAGAGGTGACTGTTTACCCCGCTGAAATGATTTTCCCTCAGCAGAAGGACTTCTTGCAGAGTTATTTTAAACAAGCCTCCCTTAGTGCATTCAAAATTGCTTCATTTACCCAAAGTGTAAGTTAGTTAAGACTCCCAACCTATCTGTCTTATGACTGGTCTGTTCTAAAGGATTTGAGGCTGAGGAAGAGGGGTATGTTGGTGATTTGGGTTATCCTGTAAGAAGTCACGCATCTTATAAGGAGGAGGGCAGCGATCTGACCTGGTCTTCTGCCAGAGATTTATTTTTCAATTCAGAGAGCTGACATCATGATTAATGCAACTTAGAAAGAAGGTACAAGAGTTCTGTGCATACATTCTGTGCCCTTGGGCAAAAAAGGAAGGAAGAATGGAAGGAAGGAAGGAAGGGAGGGAGGGAGGGAAATAAAGGAAAGAAAGCGGCGGGGTGAGGGGGAGACAAAAGAGAGAGAAGTAATAAAAAGCAAGCAAAGGCACTAGAAAGTAGAGACTCTTCTGGCAGCAGCCATGGGATGGGAGTTGGAATAATGGAGGAACATGTAGTTCTAGACATAATATCCAGATGGATTTTACAAAAAATAAAAAGATCTTTTGCACAAAAATTGGGAGAACAAGAGAAGATAGCTAGATAGGCCAACCATTCTTATTTTAAAAGATAATGCCATGGCTGATCCAGAATGGCATCAGGCAGGTGTCTACAGAGTCAAAGACTGTGGCCCATGTAAGTTGTTACAATGACAGCGTGGTACTTTCTTCACATCCGCAGGGATGTGATCTTTGGGAATGCAGAAGCCAGTCACCCTGCCTTTCAGCTGCTGTGCTCTCCCTCTGAGCATGTTGATGCAACTTAAACAGCTCTGCGCTATATTTAGCACTAACCAAAATACCCACCGCCCAGACTCCACCCTCCCATGCCCCTGAAAACGAGCTGTGTCTGCTGTATTTCTGTTCCAGCGCAAGGCGAGTGTACATGATTCCAGAGGAGCTAAGTCCAGGAACCATTGTGGCCAATATCACAGCTGAGGATCCCGATGGCGGCGGTTTCCCCAGTGACCTCCTCTACAGCCTCACTACTGTTAGCAACTATTTCATGATAAATCAGCGTAAGCCACACACATTCATCCTTAAGCACATCCTCTAGCTCAAACATTTGGATCGTTTTACAATACAGTCGTCCCTTGGTATCCATGGGGATTCGTTCTAAAACCCTGTGTGGATACCAAAATCCACGGATGCTCAGGTCCCTTATTTAAAGTGGCATAATATTTACACATAACCTATGCACTTTGTATACTTTAAATCAGCTCTAGATTACTTATAATGCCTAAGACAATGTAAGTGCAATGTAAATAGTTGTTATACTGTATTGTTCAGGGAATAATGACAAGGGAAAAAATCTGTATGTTCAGTATAGATGCACCCAACCCTTTTTTCCTCCAAATATTTTCAATCCTCAGTTGATTGAGTTTAAGGATATGGAACCCACAGATGCAGAGGGCACATCTTTCTGTCCAAGGAATCATTAGTTACTAGTTTAATAGATGTATTAAAAGCAGCTGGCACATGGGGTTGATAACTATCACCTTTCACCTTTGTGGGGGCAAAGAGATGTCTTTTCTTACCCCTTGTTAGGTTCATGGCTGAGCCACCTGTAACAGCAACAAAAAAGAGTAATAAGACCGGGTGCAGTGGCTAATGGTTGTAATTCCAGCACTTTGAGAAGCTGAGGTGGGAGGATGGCTTGAGTACAGGAGTTAGAGACTAGCCTGGGTAACATAGCAAGACCTTTTTCCTACAAAAACAAAAATTAAAAAATTAGCTCTGCATGGTTGTGCGCCTGTAGTCCTGGCTACTCGGGATGCTGAGGGGGAAAGATCACTTGAGCTCCAGTTTCAGACTGAGATGAGCTGTGATTTTACTACAGAGTGAGACCTCTAACTGAAAAAAAAAAAAAAGAATAACAAGAGAAAACCATACAAATTTATTTAGTATAAGTTTTATGTGACACAGGAGGCTTCAGAAATGAAGACACAATAAAACAGGAAACCTGTGTATTTTTATGCTAAGTTTGAGGAAGTGAATTATTATGAAGTATGCTTGGAGGACAAAGGGTATTATGCGCTAATGATAATGAACTTGGGGAACTTAGCAAGGCCTGTTTCTTCAGATTCTTTTTGGCATCTCTGTGTCTTCCAGAATGAGAATGTTCCTTTCCTCCAGGTATAGATAGGGTACCTCTGGAATGAAGGTCTTATGACTGCTTCAAAGGAAAGTCAGAGAATTCTTTTATGGCCTGCTTCAGGGAAGAAGGGCAGGAGACAGTCAGAGAGAACTTCCTGCTTCTGTTGTTTTCTCAAATGTCAAGGTGACATTTATTGAGGTCATGTATCCTGAGTCCCATCACCTTTGAGTAAGGTGGATATGTAAGGATGGAGGGGCCGCCTATCCTGAGGTACCCTGATGTCTTCTGAAGACAGTATCTGTATCAGCACTGTCCAACAGAAACAGAATGAAGACACATATGTACTTTCAATGTCTCTAGTAGTCACACTTTTAAAAAGTAAAAAGAAACAGGAGAAATTGATTTGAATTAGGCATTTAATTTAATCCAACATATCTAAAACATTGCCATTTCAACATGCAATCAATACACAAAAGCTATTCGTGAGGTATTTTACATTATTATTATTATTACTAGGAACCAAGTCTTGGAAGTTAATTGTATATTTTACACTTACAGTACATCTCAGTTTGGACAGGCCCCATCTCAAGTCCTAAATAATTACATGTGGCTAGTGGTCAACATGTTGAATAGTGTCACTCTAGATCCATTTGTGGGTTTCTGGGAGTTATTTTTCCATCTGAGTATCTCAGTGTTTCTCCTCTTCTCTGCAGTTTTACAGTCATCTTTTTTGGGGGGTCTTAGTACACATCAGGCATTATGCAAATGATTCAGGTACTCAATAGGACAATCTAATGAGCGACCACAATCCATACTTCATAGTTGAGGAAAGCGAGGTTTAAGGAGAGACTTGGAGAGGTTAAATGACTCAGGGTCTCACAGTCCAAAGATGTGAAGCTGAGAAACCAACCAAAGTCACTTGACTCTGGGATCTGTCCTCTCAACCACTGTCCCACACCCATAAATCCCAATCACATAACCAAAAGGACTTCACTTTACATTATGATTTCATGGAGATCAGCCTTGGACAGTCCCAGAAAGGCAATATTTTATGGGCTCCATAGGTTTTTGGGCAAAGGACATCCGTTCCCAAAAGGGACAGGCAAAGGCAATATCGTGCTGTCTCTGAAGACTTCCCAGTGCCCCATCACTGAGGACACTACTCCACGGATAGTGTAGGGATGGACAACTATGATTAGGAATTCTGTTCACTCTAGTACTACAAAATTAAACTTTTTTTTTTTTTTTTTTGAGTTGGAATCTCACTCTGTCGCCCAGACTGGAGTGCAGTGGCCGCTCCCGGCCACTGCAGCCTCGACCTGCTGGGCACCGGCGATCCTTTCACCTCAGCCTTCCGAGTAGCCAGAACTACAGGCATGCGCTACTACGCCCAGCTGATTTTTTGATTTATTGTAGAGATGAGGTCTCGCTGCCCAGGCGGGTCTCGAACCCGCGGGCTCAGGCAATCCACTCACCTCAGCCTCCCAAAGGCACGGGATTACAGGCTGAGCCACCAAACCCGGCTCAAAATTAAACTTTTAATAGGTACAGTGGGGATTTTAAAGCATATTTATTAAGACTTTTTGGTTGCAAGTAACAGAAACTATGGCAAGCCAAACTAAGCAAGAGAAAAAAAAAGGTAGAGATATCTGTCGGCTTACCCTTTCTAAGGGTATCTCCTTAGAAAGAGTAAGATGATCAGGTGATCAGAGTGTGATCTGCTCCAGGGACCTTAGCAGCTAGAGTTCTGGCCTTTTATCTGTAGCTCCACTATTAACCTGACTGATTCCCCAATGTGTATCTCAGTTATAAATTTCCCAACAAGAGAACCCAGTGGAGTCAGCCATCCACCAATCCAGTCAACTACGGAAAGGGCTGCTGCCAGGACCCCAACCATGAAGTTTGATGTGAAAAATTATCAAAGGGGTCAGGCCAGATACCCCAATAAATGTCTAACACAGGCACTCCCCTCATGCAGGTTTTCAAAAAAATGTATAGAGGATACTCTGTGTAAAGCAGTTCTCATAGGAGAATGATCTTTTCCAATTTCATCCAGGTTTTCATATTCCTTTACTCACCACATCTCTTCTTCGAAGGGTCACATTCTAACCTTTGCCTTCTTAGTGACTGGTACAATCCAAGTTGCCCGGAGGATAGACCGAGATGCAGGTGAATTAAGACAAAATCCCACAATTTCTCTGGAAGTTTTGGTGAAGGATAGACCCTACGGGGGTCAAGAGAATCGTATCCAGATAACCTTCATTGTGGAAGACATCAATGACAACCCTGCTACATGCAGAAAGTTCACCTTCAGGTATCCATGCTTTGAAACTTGTGCTGGTCCATTTTACCTCTTTGGTGGCCCTCGGCTTCTCTGGTATGTTCTGAGGAGGAATTGAAGAATGATGGGCATTTGGGGAAATGGCTTACTAAAAAAAGCAGATCGAAACTGTCTGATTTTGTTGATAGGCTTTCTTTTTATCATCCTTTTTTCTTCCCTCTCTTTCGTTTGCTTTCCTCTTCATTATCTCCCTTCTCCAGTTTCTCACTCTGTGAAGAATTATTTTTTATTTTGCTCCCTTCTATAACCTGCTCATCTCTGTTGGTGAAAAGTACCGCGGGGACTTGTTAGGCCTCTCTGGACTGTGTCTTTTCTTTATTTATTGCCACTGGTGGCAAGACGGTGCTGTTAGTTAGCAGTTATAATAGATGCTTAAGACTTAGGATCAGTAAATAGGAACTCCCAGAGAAACACACCACCAGGAAGACGAATAAATCAAACCAAGTACTTATGTAAAACAAAACAAAGCATCCAATGCTCCTTACACAACTTAATTGCGTATAAACAAAAGGCAACCGACAGGGAAAAAGCAGAGATACAAGTGGGATACGAGTTATTTTGTATATTTTGACCCATTCTTTGTCTCACATTCTATTCACCATTATTTAAAAATAAACTCCCTTGTGATTCTGGGTTAATATGCCCTTTGAAAACAGTACTGTCTTTCTACTGTTTTGTCAAAACGCCATGTGATTAGTAATTTCCCGAATTAACCTCATCTTGGAGGTTTCATACCAGCCAGGCTCTAGTTTCTTGAGAGTCTGAAGAGGGCTCTCTGGGGGGCTGGGTGCAGGGGCCACCTCAGCTGTGACCCTTGCCAAGAGAGGGCCCTGCCTCTGGAACAAGACTGAAGGCCAGGGCAGGTCTCAGTTTCAGATGTCCTCATGGGGAAAGTCATCTGAGTTATCTTTGCCTGGCTTTGCAAGTTTTCTCCAGGTGACTTTGGACACAGACCCAGTACAGGCCAAGGACAAAGGACCCTAGACAAAAACTGTCTAGGTTGAGCAATAGAAATAGAAATTCCTTTATATGTTTATGAATGCCTCCTCCCAAATGACATGCCCATTATAATGCTAGAGCATCAGTATGGCCTTGGGGTTTGACGTTGTCCAGTTAAATTCTGTTCTGGACACATTCTTGATCTGTCCCTTCAAATCCAGTCTCCACCCTGCTCCCCACACCCAGAGGCCCACCTCTAGAAATCAACTGGCTCCCCTTGCCTTGCGGCTTTCGGTTGGTCAATGGGAAGCCCTGAAAAGAGGGAGACAGTAAGGCCAGAGTATTTATGCCCACCCTTTCAGTCAGCAGGATGCTTCCTTCCCCACCTCCCCCTGCTCCCCACCACTGGCCTCCTGAAGGTCTAGTCCCCAGAAGGAAACCTTCTGTCACAGCACTCTCTGTCCCTGGTTTCAGAATGCCTTTCTCCTTGGGCTCCCCTGGGCCTAGAGGTGGTAAGGGTGCTCCACTCTTACTAACCCTAAGGCACTGCGCCATCCTCTGAGGCTTTCATATACCCTGCAAGCACCAGCATAATAGTCCTTTTGCTAAATAGTCCTTTTGCTTCTAGAATTATCCTAACTTGCCATTTGCTTCCTGCTGAGACCCTGATAAAATCAGTCACAATATAGAGCATCATTATAGGTTCCTACTCCAATCCAAGCATCCCTGCACTTCAGGATCTGTTAGATGGGTGGGGATGGTTGCCATGGGTAGTTAGGAGGTGACTTGCACACCATGACATATGTGGCATGCATAAATTGAACCTATCCTCTGTTGAGAGCTGTTTGGGCCCTGGGAATGGAGTGGAGATGATTTGCAGAGTCATACTTATATACTTTCTTTGAAAATCCAAATCTGCACTGGCATGCTTGGGTGGTCCCAGTGCACCCTGGGAAACCCCTCCTCTCTGGTCCCGCCCTCCTCTGCCCTCCTGCTCATCTTTGTTCCCCTTCCCTGAGAGGTGGGGATGAGAGGAAGTGAGAACCCTGGGTATCAAGGCCTACAGAGGGTTGTGCTGCCTCCTTGTCCATTTTTTCCCTTCCATGCATATTTGTTTAATTGCATACTTGGCTTCCTGCAGCCTACAGTCTCCTGAGGTGTGTGAGGAGAGTTTGCAGAATATGTTCCATATTAGCTGGGGAAATCACAATTCGAATAGCCAACACTGTCCAGGCAAGCCTGTACAGAGTCCTGCTCTTGATAATCTCTCCGAATTAACCTCGAAGGCCAAGTCGGTAACTGGACTAACTGTATTTATGAATGAAGATTCTAGACAACGCTCAGTCCCTTCTCTGGGCCTTACCGGCAAGAGTAACGCTCAGCCGCCCTGGAAAAGCCAAGATGTGGGGAGGAGCCACCAAAGGGCTCCCCCACGCCCAGGCCCGCAGCCGGGAGGTGGTAGTCTTCCCTCCAAAAGCCCAGCCGGTGCATCCCACGGCCCATCTGTCTACTGGGCGGGTGCATGGGGGCTGAGAAGCCCGACTCTGCATCACCTGCCATCCACCCAGCCTCAATACCGTCTCCGTTGCAACCGTGTTAAGGCCAAGCACACGAGCCCGTCAAAGCAGAACAAAACGACACTGGAAATGGTGCTTCCGGTCTCTAACACTCGACTACTGGAGTCTTGGGCGCAGTCCCTGCTGTGGTTTTGTGAAAGCAGGTGGAAGGGTGGGTGTGATGGGCGCCAGCACCCAGAGAGAGCAGCCGGGTGGTGGAGGACGCGAGCTGTCCCCCCCCACCCCAG